CAAACAAATAAAACATATTGCTGAGAATAAAGGGGGTTGGAGCAGAGACCCAAGACCAATCTGTAGACAATGGGACATCACCCTCACAGAAGGGTCACAAGGCAGGGATGAGACAACCAGGGCACAGTATAGCATTGGTGAAACACACAATATTCCTCTGGTTCCTTGAGGCTTTCTCACCTCCCACCATCATGACCCCAGTCATGCCTTTCAGTTCTGGCAATACTGGAGCATGTACACCGGTACAGATATGAGCGCACAACACACGGAACCCAGGTCAGATAAACCCCTCAGGTACAGAAATGGGAGGTGGGGTGAAAAAGGAAAGAAGGGGGAACAAATCGCAATGATCGACCCATAACGCCCACCCCTGGGATGAACAAGAGAAACTGTGGGAGAAGGGAGAGAGTGGTTGGTGTAAGATATGAACATAATAATAATTTATCAAGGGGTCATAAGTGAGGGAGGAAGGAAGGGAGGGAACAAAGAGCTGATACCAAGGACTCAAATAGAAAGTAAATGTGTATCAAATAATGATGCCTGATGGGGATTGAACAAGTCTAATTGTGGTAGTTACATAATCTGGTGTCAATTTGGGACTTGATAGGATTAAGAATGAAGGGATGGAGTCTAGTCTGTCAATCGGATCAAAGCCAATGAGGCCTCTGTGTGGTCATGGCTTTCACCAGAGAATTCTGGGAACTCTGGTATTTCCCTCCTGGCGGCAGGAGAGACACTCTCTCTCAGCTTACTCCCTTGGAGATGGCTCTACTGACAAGACACATGGTGTTATGCTCTGGGAGCTGGAGAAGCCACATGGACCTACCCTGATGCAGCCCTGGGAACTGGAAAAACCACAAGGAGACCCCTGCCAGTACTGAGATGCTTACAGTGCTACTGCATCTACAAGGCTTTCTGCCCACAAGCTTGTGATCGTCCTGCATTCGGCCTCATTGCATGTGTTTCATGAGTCTGAAGAGGACTTATAGATTGGTATCGGATATATGGGCTAATATTGGACTTATGGGCTCGGACTGGACTGGGATGCTTTCTTTTTTTGGATGCTTTCTTAACACACAATTACCCTTTATATAAAACTCTCTTATACACGTGTGTTTATGACTTTTTTCCTCTATTCTACCTGGACTAACACACTAATGTAGCTGAGAGAAAGCACAGAGAACTAAATGAAGGTAGAACCTCTCACCCTAGTGGGACAGGAGGAAAGTAAAAAGAAATAGAGGAAAGATCTAGGAGGCAAAAGGCATTTATAGAGGTATAAATATAGACATACGCATATGTAAATATATTGATATATAATGACAGAGATATAGGCCTATGTACATATCTTTAAATGTTGAGTATTAAGGTAGCAGATCGTCATTGGGTCTCTACTCAAGTACTCCCTCAATGCAAAAATGCTATTTCTAATAACCTGGCATTTTGTGATGCTCACCTTCCTAACATGATCACTGAAGTCAAAATGGGCGCATAAGCTAATGTGGTGAAGAAAGCTGATGGTGCCCGGCTATCAAAAGATATGGCGTCTGGGGTCTTAAAGGCTTCAAGGTAAATAAGCAGCCATCTAGCTGGGAAGCAACAAAGCCCACATGGAAGAAGCACACCAGCCTGTGTGATCATGAGGTGTTGACGGGATCAGGTATCAGAAGACCCCAAACAAATACACCAATGCAAATAATGGGGGTCAGAGTGGAGACCCAAAGCCCGTCTGTAGACAACTGAACATTCCCTCACAGAGGGGTCACAAGGAAGGAATGAGACAGCCGGGGTGTAGTATAGCACCGACAGAACACACAACATTCTTTAGTTCGTTAATATGCCCCCCCACCCCGCAATATCATGACCCCAGTTCTACCTTACACATCTGGCTAAAGCAGAGCACGTATACTGGTACAGATACGCGTTCTCCACACACAGAATCCAGGACAGCTAAATCCCTCAGGAACTGTAATGGGAGTGGTGATACCATCAGAGTAGGGGGAAGGTGGGGGGAGAAGGGCGAGAATGGGGAACCCACTATAATGATCGATGTATATGACCCCCCTTCCTGGGAAACAAACAACAGAAATGTGGGCAAAGGGAGACAGTGGACAGTCTAAGATATGAAAATAATAACGATTTATAATTTATCAAGGGGT